AATTTAGGGTGACAGCGTGTTGTGTATTAACGCCTCAGCGTGTTTTGTGAACTTGAATTTAGGGTGAAAGCGTGTTGTGTATTAACGTGACAGCGTATTGTGTGTAAGCGCGACAGTGTGTTCTCCTGATCTGTGTTGTTGAGCTTTAGCAAATAGCCCTATTGGACACCATACATTTTAGTCATTGTGAAATGAAAACATTCTCAGATTGTGTACAGTGGATTTTCTGACTAGGGGATAGGTTGATATAGTATAAATATCACATGTGTAGTTGAGTGTAACATTGAAATTATTCACATCAAGAAAACTATCGTCAACCGGGGCACAGCCCGCTGAATAATGAAGCCCTTCAGCGTAGCAACAAGCACCATTACCTGCATGACGATGGGTGATATTCCAAAAATAGCTACTGCGCAAAATTTATGTGTGCATGGTTCACCGTTATATGTATTTGTAGGAAACATTCAGTATAATATAATGAAAATTGTATGTAGTTGAGTGTAACATTTCTTATATCAAAATGGAAGCATCTGCAAGTGTTTTGGAATTACTCATAACCCTGGAGCCTTTTTAGGTCACCTGAGTAAACTCAGGTGACCTTTTGCTATCTGTTTTCGTCTGTCGTCGTGCGTCGTGCGTCGTCCGTCGTGCGTTAACATTTGAACATTTTCAGCTTCTTCTCTACAACCACAGAACCAATTTCAACCAAATTTGGCACAAAGCATCTATGGGTGAAGGGGAACAAAAATCGTGAATTTCATGATCCCTGCCCCCCTGGGGCCTGAGGGGTGGGGCCAAAACCACTAAAATTAATGCAATCTTTAAAAATTTTCTTCTTTACTCCTGGACATCAAGCAGTCAAACTGTTTGCATGATTGTAATCAGCATTGAGTCCTCTGCCAAAATTGTGAAATTCATGGCCCTGGGGTCAGGGGTTCTAGTGCTAGGGCGGGGCTAAATAAGTAGGTAGTGAAAATGCAATAGTTCTTTGAAAAGCTTCTTCTCTGCTCCTAGGTATTCAATAAACCAACTAAGTAAATAGTTATGATGAGCAAGAGTGCCTCTACCAAAATTTTGAAATTCATGGCCCTGGGGTCAGGGTCTGGTGTTAGGGCGGGGCTCTATTGACTATATAGTGAAAATACATGACTTCTTTGAAAATCTTCTTCTCTGCTCCTGGGTATTAAATAAACTAACTAAGTACATAGTTATGATGTGCAAGAGTTCCTCTACCAGAATTGTGAATTTTATTGCCCTAGGGTCAGGGGTTCTTGTTTTAGGGTGGGATCTAATGATTATATAGTGAAATGCATGTATTCTTTAAACATCTTATCCTTTGCTCCTGGTTAATATACTAATGATCAAATTACATATTTAAGGGCAGGATTAATTTTATTTTTCAGTTTTACAAACCCACCGCTCAAGGTTTTTAATTTTCAGAAAAAATAAATTTTTTTCTTTCCGATGTCAAATTTAAGTCGGGATCGAGATTTCAAATTCACGAACTCGCACTTCCGGTTTTAAGATGAAACGGAGGGTAAATAAAGCAAGATCTAAGAAGATTGCTTGGTTTAGTGTAAAATTCATCGATACGATTGCCATTGAAAACGTTTCACCCGTTCAAAGGACAAATAAAATGCTGACGACTTTGTTGCACAATGACATGCTGGTGAGATAATTATGTATTTGTTTCAAAAGTATCTTCTGTTAATTATTTTCGTCCCCCAGGTTTTAAACTACCTGTGGTAGCTATTGCATATTGCCAGCGACATTGTTTAGGTCTCTGTTATAGCTTACAGTCTAAGCATCATTCTTCAGAAAAGGGTTGCTTATGCATCAGATGTAATGAATAAAACTATGGGAGAAGTTAAGTCTATTTGAGGAAGAAATAAACAATAACCCAAAGAAATAAAAAAAAAATCAACAATTAAAAGGCAAGAATATATATAAATATCTACAGGCATGTAGTATTATTTGTATAAGCCAGAAAAATTATCTTACACTTAACTTTATGTTCACCCAACTCCCCAAATTTCTCCCTGTCTGTTTTATGATAGGAATTATAATTTTAGGCAACAAGTAAATTTTAGAACAATGTCTATACATTTACCTAACACATATTTAATCAAAGTACTGAAAGTACTGAAAAGCTACTATAGCAAACAACTCAAAAAGAAAATAAAATAATAATTCAAATTCTTTATATTAATTCATTTGGAGTACTGTACATAGATCTTTAGCTGGCTAGTATGAAAAATACGGGTGGACGAGCAGAGAATAAATTAATTTCAGAGAGCTTCAGTTTCGTAGGCTCACTGCGGGTCAGCAGGTGTGACCTGTCATTGGGGATGCTTACTTCAGGTTCTCCTAGGCACCGGAACTTTCAAGGATCCGTTTTTCTTTTGAGACCGATCACTGTTCATTCTGTATTTTGATACAGATACTGAGTACATCTGTATTAATATTATGAACTTTTTCTCTCACAGGAAGAAAGACAAGTAAGCAAAATAAAGTTTTAAGAAATGTACATTATTGACTTTTCATACAATTAAATGTTCCAATAAGTAAATGGTATATGTGAATTATTTAAAAAGAGTCTTGCACGATATGTATAAACAAACATATACTGAATATTTTGCAAATATTTTTCGTGAAATATTGTAAAAAAAAAAAAGGAAAAAGAAAAGGAAAGCTGTTGTTTAATCCATCAATACTAGTATTTTAAAAATTCAAAAGTTCACTAAAAGTCAGTGTATAACAAACAATTTAATTGTCCATTGCAAGAATTACCTAGGTATTATTGTCACTTTCTTCAATATGTCGCATAAGCAATACATTGTTTTTGTTTTTTTTGTTTTTTACTAAAAACAAGTATGCGAATTTCTATCAATATGTCTGTAACCATCTGTATTTTAATTTTTATTTCTTCTCAAAGGCTCAAAATGATAATTAACAATTTGGACAAATTCAAGATTGAAAAGAATTTTTACAACTTATACCTTCCATAGGAATTTAGCAAACTTTCAAAAATAATCATTCATTAGATATAATTTTCAATTTGTGCTTATCGTCAAGATTTTTCATGCCTCTTTTTTCTGTGCATATTTTATATCTGCTGCTTTTAAGAAAAGGGTCGAATGCCGATAAAATATTTTTCTCCAATTTTTAAAAATTAATTTAAGTATTTTCAGGCTTCCATTATTTTTTTTAATAAAAATGTGATCGTTTAAAATCGTTTGTAATAATTAGACTGAGTACAGTACATATCCCTGGAAACAAAGCTTTTATCATCTTTGAAATAATTTCAATTGACAAAAAAGGAGAAAAAGGAGAAAAAAAACAAACGTTTCATTATGGAAGTAATCCATATCTGTACAACTTACAGATGTATTCAGTATTTTTATATAAAGGCTTTCTTCGTGTACTAGTATTACTAAAGTTAATCAAAGGGATGCCTTAATATTTTGGAAAATGAAATTCGATCGAGAGATTCTCCGATGTTTCGGTAATAACCCTCAACCCCTTTAGCCAGTAATTAACCCGTCCTCCCTATGCCCAGTAGCATAATTCGGTCAAATATTTATTGTTCATTGGGGGTGCCTTATAATTAAACACAGGCACATGCATTTTTATCAGTAGGTGTCTAAATTAGCCAAATATCGCAACATTCCACCCCTTCTGTATAGAGATACATAGGGTGTCCAATGCAATTTTGACCCCCTGTTCGATTCAGGCTTCAATTTAACACATAAATCGGAAATGCCTAGTGGTTTACGTTTAGCATTGTGTTTAAATATGATATTTCTCGCTATACATTTCTTCCTAAAGTTTAAATCTAACGCGTTGATAATGTTATCAGCTAAACTTCATGCTGACTTCGAATTTCGTCACAGGGCCCGATCGCCATCAGCTGATGTCACGGAAATTTAATCTCGATACCAAATGCTCCTATACATAAACTTTTTTTAATACAACAAATATAAATTTACTTCGTTGACAAACAAAATCAGAAACCGAAAGATTATGTTGTTTTGATAGTCTTGATTTTCATTAACATATGTTATATGTGTTAGAAACAAATCATAGGTACTAGGTAGAGGCTTTGTTGAAGTTTAAGTTGTCGATAGGTAGGGCCTTGTGGAAGTTTCCGGTGTCGATAAAAATCAGACACATGCCATAAAGCGGCTAGCGAAGCTAACCGCTTAAAAAATGAAGATATATTGAAAGACTTTTAAAGAATTTATCTTTTGAAATATATTTTGACCAACATCACAAAATTTATATAACTGGCCCAAACTTGCATATGATGAAATAAGCAATTAAATGTTCTACTTTCCTATTTGTAAGCATTATGTGTCCAGTGGTAAGGAGACTATTAGAATAGCATAAAAAAGAATGTAAAAATATTGAAAATTGATTTATCAATTTTTTTTTTTATTTCCTTATCCTTTGGGACTTTTTTGTTCTCATTTCATAACTAAACCTAAACATAGAAAATGCTGGCCTTATAATGAAGAAAGGGGCCTCTTTCAAAATAGATAATTTCAGGGCCGCTGGGTCAGGGGTACCAAGGGGGTTCTTTGACTAAAATAAATTAATGCTTTGAAATCTGTCCTTTGATAAGCAATGGTGCCTCTTTCAAAATTTGTGAATTTCAGGGCTTTGGATTAAAACACAAATCAAATACAATCGCTGGAAAGTTGTCACATGATACTCAGGTGACCTATAAGGCCCGTGGGCCTCTTGTTTAATATAATACTGATTTGTGCCTTTTTTCCTATCCAAAGTACTCAGGTTAGCGATGTAGCCCTTGGGCCTCGTTTTGTCTACGCAAAGATCGTTAAGCCCCCCTTGAATATATGTATGATGGAAAAGAGGATATGACTGGGACTACAAGCTCAAACTTCTAACAAATAACATCTGAAGATGCAAGACTACAATGGGGATATCAGAATTGACAATTCTGAGAAGCACCTTTCTTTTTCATTTTTTTTTTGCAGGTTACAATTCACATCGTTTGGGAAATTATGATTACAGGCTATGGGAGACAAGACTATCTGGTATGTACAATAATTATTGTTGAAAAAAGTAAAAGTAATTTACGACCCCTCCCCCCACTCTATATTACGACTGCTATCTATTAGTGGAAATACTATAATTTAACAGACAGTTTATGCAATAAATATAAAACATGAAATCTCTTTTATATATGATATTTCGGTAAAGGAATGTTTGAAGTTTAATCAACGCTCTCTGTACATCTTTTGAGGTTTTTTTAAAACGATTATACTTTCTATATTTTATATAAAATAAATGCATTTCTCCTTATGGAGTGGCAATGTAATGAAATTAGTCAATTATAAAAAGAAAAGTTTTTTACTTGTGTTAATTTGTTGGGGGAGTGGTAGGGTAAAGTTTAACCTTGAACATGTTGAATGTACAATCGGAAAAAAATATATAATTTTTTCATGTAGTTTATAAAACTTTTTAACATCACACAATAATGATTTTTACGCTAGCGAAAGGATATTTTCATCTAAGGAATAATAAAATTAATCCGTTTATTTTGTAGATCAGTTCTCCACACTGACTGATGACGAGGTGTCGGTGTTATTCTGTTTTCTGTGCTCTGACTCCGGTCCTCCTGACTTGACTGACACAGAGTGGCTGGACTTGCTTAATGAGATACGACGGGAAGTATACCGTAAAGAGAATCCTGTAACACGTGAGGAAGCACAGCAGATTCTGGACAGACTGAAGTCACGTGATTACCTTTGGGAAGATAAGGATAAGATAACGGAGGACACAAAGGATGAGACAATGTATAGGATAGCATCAATACACAGTCGTATACCATTCTGGTTCAGTAGTTATAACACAGCCAGTGTGTACCTGAGATCATACATGTACAACAGAGAACCTGGAGAGAAGTGTGTCAGTGAACTTAGCTGGGATAACTCACTGATACGCCGTCTACAGATGAACATACTGACTCACGTCACTATGGAGGACACGAATATATATGATGGGATACACCAGATATGTAAGTCAGAGTAAAATAATTGTAAATTGTTCTATTTTTTCTTTCAGAATTTTCTTTGAATAATTGGATTACATTTCAAAGAGTTATAAAGTTATCAGTAGAAACATCTAAATATTTAAAGCAGCTTCTTTTTTTATTTGTAGTTTCATCGAGTATAATTTAAACACTCTAAAAAAAGTTTTACTTGTTGTTTTTAAAATAAGATATTAGATTTAGAAAAATAGTAATTACTAGTAATCCATTTAGTCAGAATAGCAAGTAAATGACTATTATGGTTAGTAATTGTAAACATAATTAGTAATAAGGATGAATTCATTTACTTATAAAATGATTTACTAAGTATCAATAGAGTTACTTAAATTATAGGAATTGTATTACTTTAAGTTAGTAAATGAACTACTCATTTTTGTTAAATTATTATTACTTAATTCAGAGATAATATGCTTTCTATTTACTAAATTTTATGAATTATTACTTAGTAAATATATTTCTGAAATTAATTAAAATATAGAATATTATTACTTAAAAGCATACTAAGTAAATGAATACTTATCATATTTACTAAAATCGACATTATTTACTAGAAACACTGCAAGGTACCTACCCTCTGACATGTGAGTGTTACTCACAGATTTCTTTATCAGAGTTCCCTAATTGGGCCCTCTGAATGGTTAAATAGAAGAAATCTTCTCATGATGGAAACAATTAAACTTTCCATTTCTTTTGCCAATTTCTTTGTAACTGTTTTATTATATATAACAATAAAACATTTGATTCCAACTTCGAAAACCTGAAAAATTGAATAAGTTGTATTTTTTTAAGGACCATTTTAAAAATGGTTAAACATTTCAAGTACTTAATATCGCATTTTTATTAGTGTGACTTTTTTTTCACATGAAGGTATATTTAGATGAAAGATAACTCCTCCTCATAGACAATTAGTGATAAGACTACCATATTTAAGTAATTACTGATCTGAATTCTCCTTGATTTAGTAAATAAATTTTTGTTTTAAGTAAATCAATTAAATACAATTCAAACATGCAAGATGTGTTTGTGAAACACCTATGCCACTGTATGGCAACATAGCAAAGGTTAAACTTTTCTTAAATGAAAATTTAATTATTGGGATTTCTTGATATCTCCAAGGTCAAAAGGTCAAGGTTATTGGTATCTAATGAAAGGTCTTGCTACAAAAAAATACATATGTGAAATATGGAAACACTTGCCTCAACCCTTCTGAAGTTATGGTCAAGGTTACCAATTTTGAAATGTAGGTCAAACTCCAAGGTCAAGGACAAAGGGACAGAGTTGGTGGCACCCAAAGAAAGGTCTTGTCACAAGGATGAGCTATGTTAAGTATGAATGCACCAACCCTAATCCTTTTAAAGTTACAGTCAAGGTTTGCTTTTTAAAAGTGGGTCAAACTCCAAGGTCAAGGTCAAAGTTCTTGGTATCCTATAAATGGTCTTCTTAAAATGATTACATATATGTAAGTATGAAAGCACTTTTCCTTACCGTTAAAAAGATATGGCCAAGGTTAAAGTTTTTTCCCAAGGATGGAAATCTCTAGGGTCAAGGTCAAAATTTCATAGTTGTTGGTATTCAATGAAAGTTCTTTCAACAAAAAATATATATGTGAAGTATAAATGTCCTGCCTCCTGGTATTCACTGTAAAAAAGATTTGGATAAAGAATAAGTTTGAATTTTTTGTATATAAGGTATTGTCATAAGGAATACGCGTGTGAAATATGAAAGTTGTAGCTCCGCTAAATCAAAAGTTATGGGCAAGGTTAAAGTTTCTGCGGATAAACAGAGAAACAGAGAGACAGCTAGACAGACAGACGGAAACGACAAAAACTATATACCCCCGAAACTTCGTTTACGGGGGCATTAAAATATTAATTATGTAGTAAATAGTGGTAAAATGTAAGTATTAAAGACCAAGTAAAGTTATTACTTGATATATACACAAATTTAAGTAAATATAAATTACTAAGTAAAACTTTTTAGTGTGTAAGTAAAACAATTTTTTAAAATACAAAAATCAAGTAAAACATTTGAATCTAGTAATTGACATATATTTCAGTAATTGATTTTAAATTTTAAGTAAATGCTTAGTAATTATCTATTACTTATCTTTGTTATTTCAAGTAAAAAATGACTACTAAGTAAAACTTTTTTAAGAGTGAAGCTACTAGATTAACTTACAAGAAACTGATCGAATATGTTTAGTAAATCTATAATTTGAATGTATCTCTACCTATACACATGTATATATACATAATGGTATTACAGTGTAATTGTTTATTTTAAACGGTATATTTTTTTCTACAGTAAATATCCCAGAAAATAAAATCAAAAAGAGTAAAGATGAACGAGAAAAAATTCTAACGGAACTAAGAAGAGAAGGGGAGGCTGTACATTACAGAGGAAGATCACAGGACAGTGTAGATCACGTGACGTGGCTCTGGAGATACTACAGACCTGACATCGTGAGATCCTGTATAGGTCTACATCCACACTGGGACATTTACATCATCGACAACAAAACCTATAGAAAACGAAGTAAGAAAGTTTGATTTTCTAGAAGAAATAAAATTAGTTCTTTAGTTTATTTCTGTGAATTTAGACCTATAAATTTATATTACAGCTCAGTTCATTATATTTGTTACCCACGATCTTGTATAGAAAAGTGATTAATAAGTTAATCAGTAATCTGAATAAATATTACTGAGTACCTAAATCTACCAGTAACTTTGTGTAGACATAAATCTAAAAATAAAGGGTGTCAATTTTTCTACTTAAATAAAGGAGAGGATTGGGATTCTTAGAGGTTGAAGTTCTTTCATGACCATTTTTTATCTTTCAAACACTACGACTTCAGGGTTTGACATTACGCTTTTGGAATACTAGACCAATCGGGCTACTCTAGCAAATTTTTACTAGCCCTGATCGTTTAACCACTAGCCCTGACCAAACTTGAGAAAACATATTTAAAGTACAAAAAAATTGATAATTGGTTTTTTCCCGCACATGTCACATCAACACTAGGTCATATATATGTGGCTTGTCGTGTTTAGTCCTAGTTTAATCAACTTGTATACAACTGTACAATATTAATAGAAACCTTTACAAATGTTCAGAGAATTAAGTATAGTAAGAAAAATTTTATTATCATAGTTTTATTGTTATTAACATGATTACCGATGTCGTAAACGTGAATCTCTTGACACTGACAATCGTAACTACTCAGGCATTTACGTGACTGAACAATAAATAGCTCATTCTTTCTCTCTAGGGAAATGACCGAGTAGTTGCGAATGCCAAATATATAGCATTCAGTCATGCTGTCTGTAACGTATGTAGTTCCCTTTCTACTATGTGGTTAGAAACGTTTAAGTTTTTCATTGGCAATAAATGATTTATTCAATATATAATAAGTTCCTTCATTTTTCCGACATTTAACCCGACCGGACCTATCTTTTACTAGACTCAGTCGGTCGGACGTGCCTTAATGTCAAACCCTGCGACTTACCATTCTTCAACTTTAACTAAACTGCAACGTGTGTTTTGTTTGTGCATGTGAGAGGGTGTGTGTGTGTGTGTGTGTGTGTGTGTGTGTGTGTGTGTGTGTGTGTGTGTGTGTGTGAGGGGGATGTATACATACGTCCCAATGTTTATTATCTACATGATTTCTATCGTTTGAAAAAAAAAAGTATGGGACTGAAGCCCCCCCCCCTCCGCTAACCTCCCTTGTTTCGACGCCAATGGTAATCTTTTTTTTAATTGGATCCATGATTTTTTTGTATTTTGCAAATCTAAATGACAGTTAAAGTATCAGTCTGTTTCTCTCCCTCGATTTCGCTTTAAAGTAGGTCTACACTCGCCCAACGTCATTTACGAATAGTAAAACAGCAACCGCGCTTCCTTTTTCCGAGATGTGATTTTTGAACTATATTGGTTTGACTTTTAGTTAGCGTTTTAAATATCCGGTAACGATTTTGCTCGAAGTCGGTCGCAGAAGGATAAAACGTACGCTGAACTTGGACCTTAGGTAGCCCGCGCAGTTCACGTCTATCGGGTCTGTTTACTCCGCTACAAAATGTAGTGCGTTGCATACGTAAAGTGAAAAAAGAATAAATCGTAATACTGTGAAGCCTATTTGGTGTAAAAAAAAAAACAAAAAATTTTTTTTTGTCAAGGGAATAACCATCTGTGATGGGTATTAAGAAACAAAGAGGGGGAGGGGGGTTGCTGAGCAACATTAACTGCAATATTATAAGATATATGATATATTAGAGTTAAACATTTATGGATTATGTTGGGTGACCTGTGGTCTCCCTTATGATTTTATTATTCCATGTAAGGCTATAGTATCTATATAACACAGTGGCTAACCTCTGATATCCTTACTAATAGTAAGCGACTCAGAGTAAACGACGTACGTCTGGTCCCTGCATTCGCAGATCTCTGACAAGCAGAGGGGGGGGGGTACATTTGTAGGTGAAGATTTTGCCCGCTGCCACCCCCTTTTTCATTTCGCTCGGACTGTTCACCAATCCTTTAACATAATGGAATAATTATTTGTTAATAAATTATTTAATGTCTCTTTTGTCTTTCTTATGAGGTCATGCTGAAATAGGCTACCTCATCACTTTAACACTCTTTGCCGGAAATCCCTGATTTTTATTTATCTTACAAAGAAGATGTACACCCTGTATTACAAAGTTTGGGGCTGCATGGAGTTCTCCTCCCCTTTCCCTGGAATTAACACATCAAATTCATAAACCCATCAAAACTACATTAAAAACAGGGAATAAAATTTAAAAAATGCACCAATTGTTATTTAACTTTGGGATACATATACTGTATTTGAAGACAAGCAAGTTGACTAATCCTCCAATTCCAATTACATACATGTACATTTAGAGAATTCGGAGAACTTGTGCACTTTTTCTCCGGTCAAAAAATTAGGGGCCGCAATTCTATTTTTTAAAAGGATTTGAAAAATAATTCTACACATACCATGATATTAAATTATTGCCTACATACAACTTTCAATTACATTGAAATAATGTACAACATAAGATTACCTTTGTCTCATTCATATACTACAATTTGTGAAGTATGAAATTCTTATTGATGGACAATAGAAGACTTCCGCTTGTTTCCATAATCCTTATGCGAATACCACAGGTAATAAAAAGTTAATAAGACCAGAGGTCACTTTATATCGTACGTTTTTAGGGCGACCATAGGTTATACCTTATATTGTACATCAAAAGGGAGACCAGATGTCATCTTCTGTTCTACATCATAAGGGGGACCAGAGGCCACCTTATTTTTTATATCAATAGGGGAACCACAGGACACCTTATATTAAACATTCGTAGGGGGGGGGGCAGAGGACAATTTATATTGTACATCAGTAGGGGACCAGAGGACACCTCTTATGTATATCAGTAGGGTGACCAGAGGTCACCTTAAATAGTGCATCAGTAGGGGGACCTGTGGTCACCTTATAGTGAACATCAGTAGGGGACCAGAGGACACCTTATATTGTACATCAGTAGGGGGACCAGAGGTCACATTATATTGTACATCAGTAGGGGGACCAGAAGTCACCCTATATCGTGCATTCAGTAGGGGGACTAGAGGGTCACCTTATCTTGTACATCAGTAGGGGGACCGCGGGTAACATTATATTGTACATCAGTAGGGGGACCAGAAGTCACTTTATATTGTGAATCAGTAGGGGAACCACAGGACACCTTATATTGTATATCAGTACGGGGACCAGGTTTCACCTTTCATTGTACATCAGTACGGGGACCTGGGGTCACTTTACATTGTACTTCTGAAGGGAACATCAGTAGGGGGACCAGAAGTCACCTTATATTGTACATCAGTAGGGGGACCAGGGGTCACCTTACATTGTACATCAGTAGGGGGACCAGGAGACACCTTATATTGTATATTAGAAGGGGACATCTGTAGGGGGACCAGAGGTCACCTTATAATGTACATTAGTAGGGGGACCAGGAGACACCTTATATTGTACATTAGAAGGGGATATCAGTAAGGGGACCAGAGGTCACCTTATATTGTACATCAGTAGGGGGACCAGAGGTCACCTTATATTGCACTTCATAACAGTGGGGGGATCGTGTTCACCTTATATTGTACATCAGTAGAGGGACAGAGCCTTCAGGTCAGTTTTACGTTCGGCACTAGAAGGATCAGCTAGTAACTGATAAACTAAATATTGTAAACTAATTATGTACATCAATAGATTGATGAAAGGTTACCTATTTTATTTCATTTTGGAGACTTAACGTCAACTTAATATTGTACAACAGAAAGGGGACCAGAGGTCTCCTTATACTGTACAAGACCAGACGTCAGATTATATTGTACATCAAAAGGGGAAACAGAGGTCACCTTATTCATCAATAGGTGCTCATAGATCACCCTATGTAGTAGATCATTATGGGGACGTAAGGTCACTTTACATTTTACAACACTAACGGTACAGTACCGGAAGTCACCTTAAATTGTACATAAGTAGGGGGACCAGTGGTCCCCTTATATTGTACATTAGTAAGGGGACCAGAGGACACCTTATATTGTACATCAGTAGGGGGATCAGAGGTCACCTTATATTGCACATCAGTAGGGGGACCAGGGGTCACTTATATTGTACATTAGTTGGGGATATCAGTATGGGGACCAGGGGTGACCTTATATTGTACATAAGTAGGGGGACTAGGGATCACCTTATATTGTACATGAATACGGGGACCAGGGGTAACCTTACATTGTACATCAGAAGGGGACATCAGTAGGGAGACCAGAGGTCAACTTATATTGTGTTTAAGTAGGGTGACCAGAGAACATCTTATATTGTACAACAATAGGGGGACCAAGGGTCACCTTTTCATTGTACAACAGTAGGAGGACCAGGGGTTACCTTATATTGTACAACATGAGGGGGACGAAAGGACACCTCATATTGTACATCAGTAGGAGATAACAGAAGGATGACCAGAGGTCACCTTATATTTTACACCAGTAGGGGGACAGAGCCTTCAGTTCAGTTTTAACGTTCGTTACTAGGTGGACAAGAGGTGAACTAATATTGTACAAGAATAAGTTGACCAAAGGTCACCTTATATGTTATTTCATTATGGAGGCTAATGGTCATCTTTATATTGTACAGCAGAAAGGGGACGATAGGTCACCTTATACTGTTCAAGAGCAGACTTCAGATTATATATTATACAACATAGGGGAAACAGAGGTCACCTTATACATGAATAGGGGTCAGAGTTCACCCTATGTTGTAGATCATTATGAGGACCTTAGGTCACTCTATATTTTACATCACAAGGGGGACCAGAGGTCACCTTGTATTGTACATAAATAGGGAGACCAGTGGTCCCCCTTGTTGTACATTTTTAAAGAAATCAGACATTAAAGAAAATTTATGAATCCAGAGAGATGAAGCATCAACGATTCTAGACCCGTCTTATCCAACAGATATCTAAAAAGAAAACAAGGGTGGACCAGAGGGTACAGATAAAATGCATATTAACGAGATGCTAGAGGTTCACTTAAGAACACGACAAGAGGCCTATGGATCTTATAGTCATCTAATTATCTTGTAAAAATTTAAAACTTTCATTTCA